TCCGAAAGCTTGAGAGTGAAATCTCTCTATTAAGATTTCAGTCTGAAGGTTCAAAAATAGAAGCACTGAGAAGAGGTATCAACAACACGAGGCCTCAATCTCCTAAACTCACAAAGAGCTTGGCAGTCTTTGAGGAAAATCTTGGCTCTGGTAGTGTGAAAATCGAGAGGGAGTGTGTTATGTGTTTGAGTGAGGAAATGACAGTGGTTTTCCTCCCATGCGCTCATCAGGTTCTTTGTGCACAATGCAACGTGCTTCACGAAAAGCAAGGAATGAATGACTGTCCTTCTTGTAGGACGCCAATTAAGAAGCGGATCAACGTTCAATTTGCTCGTTCATCTAGAAGTTAACGCCAGAATCATCTTAAGAATGATACTCATACCATAATCCATTGTCAAGGGACATACAAAACTTATCATTGTCCCCCTTTTTTGGCCTTTACATCAACCTTAGCTGAATTAGTTGATACAAAAATGCAAAAAGGTATAGACAGGTAGTATTAAAAGATTGTAAATTTTTAGTAAAAGTTCAATTATCAAGTGTTAGATCATCTTGTACTTAACAAGAAAACTTGGTTCAATATCTTTTGTATAATGGTTTTCTTTTTTGCTTGCTGATTCCAGTTTCCCAGTGCTACTAGTACATATTATTTTTGCTTTGATTATCGTAAAATATGTTGTTACTACTGTTCTTTTTTTCATTATTTTCTACTTGATTTCCTTTTCGCACTATTTTTTTTATATGTTTTGCTTGAGTTGAGGGTCGATCCCTCTATCCTCACAAGGTAGGAGGATTAAGGTTGTGTACATACCACCCTCTCTTGAGGCCATTTGTGGGATTAGTCTAAGTATGATGTTGTAAAATATTTTTCATCTTATTATATTGGAAAATGTTGGTTGGTGTTTATTTTGGCAATCTAACATTAGGAAATGACTTGTTTTTTTCGAAATATACTTTATGAAAAATTGTTTTCCTTTCATAGTAAATAGTTTTCATGAAAATGTTTTACTTTAAAAAGCTATTTTCTTGATAATTTCATTTTTTTCCTTTCATAGTAAATTGTCCAATTTTTTTTTGCTTCTTTAAATGTTGATATCAAATTGCTTATTAATTTTTTTGCGTAAATCTTTGGAGTCAACGTGTAATGTTAGAGTTATGAAATCATCATTAAATCGTATATATCAAGAGAATTACGTCAATTGTCGTTGATATAAATAATAAGACTAGGCTATAAGGAATGGAGTCTTAATGTTATGTAATGCTTTCCATATCTTTTATCTCGGCTTCTTTACTTTAGTAAAAATAATAATTTATATATATAATTGCTTCGATTTTGCTTTTTTTAAGCGATGATCTATCGGAAACAATCTCTTCATCTCCAGAAGGTAATGATAAGATACGTGTACATACTACTCCTCAAATCGCACTTGTGGATACGATTATTATTTTAAAAATGGCAAGCATAAGCTTCAACAGGTCGATATGTCCGAGTGGTTAAGGAGACAGACTTGAAATCTGTTGGGCTTCGCCCGCGCAGGTTCGAACCCTGCTGTCGACGGTTTTTTAATTTGATTTTACCTACTTTTCGATGTTTTTCATCCTGACCTTATATACATAGCTCGAGCTTAAAGCAACCTTCTAGATGCATGCATCCATCCATTAAAATCGGTTCTACGATCTAATGTAGTGGACGTTTTGATGGTGCAGATTTGAGTGTAATTTTTAAGATTTTTCAATATTGAACTCATTGCATGTTGAAATCATGAACACAAATTTAATATGAATCAATGTATCTATATCTCATGTAGAAAAATCTGAATTCAAAGAAGTTCATAGCAAAAAAGCTACATTTGTCTGTGTTCACAAGCATGAAAGACCCACAAGGTAAATGGGAAAGTAAGATTCTCAATTGGAACAATATTGATAATCTTTGTAAGAAAAAGATTACTCTTGTAATATATATATTATAATCAGTCTATTGTCTATTTCTAATAAACACAATAGATCAAATTTTGGATCTAGTAATGAAGTACTAACTATTAGTAGAGACTGTTATTAAGGAAACACTCTAATCCAACAACGTTAGTTTCAAGCATAGCTCTTTTCCTAGGCTAAACACAATAGACCTAATTTTTGGTCAATTTTGGATCATGTAATGTAGTACTAGCTAACTGTTAGTAGCGACGAAACACTCAAGAATGGATTAAATAAGTATAGGTTGCCTTAGAAAGGCAAGTGAATCATTAGTTTCGGGTAAAACTCTTCTCCACGACTTTCTCCATTCACCAAAAAAGGAGCGCTAAGCTCCCGCTATGCACATGGTACATGGAAGGGTAAGACCTTAAGGTTCTATTGTACGCAACCTTATATTGCATTATATTTCTGCAAACAACTGTTGATAATTAACTCACTTCCTGATCACATGACAACAATTTTACCGATTAAGTTAAAGACTCCTCGCTCGTTCATCAACTTTCTTCTATATGGTTAAATTGGTTGATTTAGTTCAAACAATACATGTTTGACAAATATTTTCCAACAATATTATTTGTATAGTATATCCTCCTCTTTTTTCTGTGATATTACTTGGAGCATTAGAAATGTTATAAAAGATTAAATAAACTCAAGCATCATGACGTCGATATGTCCGAGTGGTTAAGGAGACAGACTTGAAATCTGTTGGGCTTCGCCCGCGCAGGTTCGAACCCTGCTGTCGACGATTTTTATTTCCACTTTTTTCCTATTTTTCGATGTTTCTTTGATTTCTATTACTATATACCTTTATCTTTAATTATCTTATTATTTTGTTGTAGTTATTGTTCCTTTTTCATATTGTTTAGTATTTAGCCTTTGATTTCTTTGTTCCTGTTATTTTCTTAAGCAAATGGAATAGCAGAATTAGTTTCTCTACCTCCCAAAGATAAGGGTAACGTCGACCTACACAATCCCCTCCCACACCTCACTTTTAATGGAAGGATACATCTAGAAGTCAGCAATACAATCATGTCACTTTAAGCTCGAGCTATATATATAAGGTTAGGTTAGAGCAGACTAGCCTAGTTGTTGTACCTATAATTGCATCCAATGGTGGAAATACCCTTCTTTGACGGTGCAATATCCCAAGATAAGGGTAACGTCAACATACACAATCCCCTCCCCACACCTCACTTTTAAAGGATGGATGCATCTAGAAGTCAACAATACAATCATGTCACTTTAAGCTCGAGCTATATACATATAAGGCCGTATTGGATCAGACTAGCCTAGTTGTTGTACCTATTTGTCGCATCCAATGGCGGAAATACCCTTCTTTGACGGTGCAATACTTTACGAAAAACGTCGAAAAATAGGGAAAAAAATATAAAACGTCGACAGCAGGGTTCGAACCTGCGCGGGCGAAGCCCAACAGATTTCAAGTCTGTCTCCTTAACCACTCGGACATATCGACCGATTGATACCAACGTATTGTATGGTTTTCTTATTTAGCTATTATTTTATTCGATTTTTCATTATATAAATAAGATGAAATATAGATCAAATAATATATTTAATCAAATGATGAAAAAGAACGAGTAGTAGTAATGACTAAAATAATACCCTATAATAATAATAATACATTTGATGAGATACCGGAACACTCATAATCTCTTAAAAACGTATAATGCAACAAGTCAACAAGAATAAACTTGCACGCCTATTAGTACCAACCAAAATGAAATATAGTTATTAATTTCATTCTAGTTAGTTCTTTTTACAATATTTCTATTTTTTTATTTTCAAATTCCAAAACCATACTAAGAAATCAAAAAGATAGGTTCGATATGTTTTTTTTATTTAACCCGAACAAAAATACATATAAGGAAAAATTACGTTTTATGTCTATTTTGAAAATACTTACGATATGTAGCTCATACTTTATGTATAAACATACGATTTAACTTATATATTTGTGTATAAATATCTTCTATACATTATAATACATTTTATATAAAGTTGATACATTATATATAATAATTTTCTTCTCGTGTATATTGAACTACGTGACGTAAATATTTTTGCTCTGTCCATCTGGTGCATTAAATTGAGCAGGTCATGTTTGACAGAGTGACAGTGAAGATGATGGATGACAATGCCCATTTGGATGCCAGATCCAAATGGGAATTTTAGTTGCAAAAGTTCTGGGAAAGTTCTCACCAAAGTCAATAAAACACCACTTTGGGTAGGGATGGATACAACTATTTAGCGGCAGGTTCATCTGAATTCATTATTTTCGAGGCAAAACATAAATTTATATGTTGAGTTCACTTAAAGTGACAACAAATAGTAGGCCTAAACAACAACTTTAGTAATACAATCGGTTCAATGCTAAGAATTTTAAAGGTTGAACTCATAAAGCTTAAATTCTGAATCCGTCTCTAATAATGGAGAGTAAAAGTAGATGTATAACAAAATATAATGGTGTTAGACCTACCAAATTCTTGTTTCACCCGATGTTGGATCCCTATATTATCTTGTCCACACTCTAGTTTTCTTCCCGTGTGTGGAGGTGGGGGTGGGGGTGTTACTCAAGTCAACTCTAATTAATTTGAACGTCTTTCTTTTTAACTAGTATAATCCATGAATAATCTATGTATATCGATTGGGAAAAGTAAACAAGAATATTGTATCCTCATTAGATGCAATTATGCATCCCAAAAAATACAATCAAAAATAAATAATCTATATGTACATCGGTTAGGAAAAGTAAACAAGAATATTGCAAATATGCATCCCAAAAAAGCAATAAAAAATAAAAGAAGCAAAAAGAGTTGTAGAAAAGATATATATACCTATATATTTTGGTGTAAACAAAAGCAAATTCTTTACACTTTTTTTTGTTATGGGGAGAATTCAAGTACTCTCTTTCGGATTCAAGATACAACACTCGAGAAACAATCAACCTATTGATATTGAAAAATTTGACAGAAAGTATACGAAATCCCTTATGTATTATGTAGGTACTACCTCCCTGAGAGGATAGACATTGTGTAAAAGCGAAGCGAATTAGTATCACTAGATCTTGCCATGGTTGCAGCAACCCTAGGTATCCCAGGATGATGATCCACACCCTCATCTAATAGATCGAGGATCAACATTGTCGTTTGTCTAGGCGCTTCTACTGGCCCACGACCTTCCAACATTTCCACGACTCGTGCCATTGTTGGCCTAAGACTAGGCCGTTCTTGGATGCAAGACAAAGCCACACACGCCAATCTTTTCACTTGCATTTCTACAGCTACACCTCCTGTAGCTGCCTCATGGACGAGCCTCTCGTCCAGGACTTCCATGATCTTCCCCTGCTCCAATTTCTCACTCACAATCTTAGGAAAGTAGCTGAACTTACTCTTTGAATTGATACTCTTTCCATTTTCAGCTAAAGTAATATTTCTCCTCCCTCCAATCATCTCCAATAGCACCATTCCATAGCTATAAACATCACTTTTCTCAGAAATCCCGTTCTCCAGGAGCCACTCGGGTGCTAAATACCCCCGAGTACCCTTAATCGTTGTAACAACTCTACTCTCAACTTTCCCCATCAACTTAGACAACCCGAAATCAGCTAGAATAGCACGATGATTCTCGTTTAGAAGTATATTCTCAGGCTTGACATCAAGATGTAAAATACACGATCTACAATCATGATGCAAATAAGAAAGTGCCTTAGCCACATCTAGACCAACTCTACACCTTAGACGTGAACCCGGAATCTGTGAGTAAGTACTTTTTAGTGCACAGACAAATAAGCTATACAGAAGACAAAAGAGTTAATGACCTGAATGCTTTCGTTGAATGCCTCCAATAGTCTTGCTTGAACATGTACCTTTGATTCCTAAAGGGAAAGCAGAACCTCCTTAGGATCGTATCAATATTGATTAAACTTTTGCTGCAACACTAGGTTATTTACCTTCTTTAACGCGTCAAGCAAAGTTGGGATGATTAGTGTTAGGTAAAAATCTGCATGCTCCTTTGTAAGCCTTGTAAATGAGATTAGCTATGACCTGTAATTTTCTAGACAGACCTCATTAACCCATAAATGCAGTCGTCCCTTTAACTCAGCTGCAAAGCAGCATAGAATATGACAGGCCAAGGCCTTCTCTTCCAGAAGTGCACTTCTTATCCCGATCTTTTTATTCCCAGCGGTGACTTTAATCATGCTACAGAAGATACTTATGTCTGCTGAAGACATCCTAAATAATTTTTTTTCAAATAAGTTTGCTTATTTCACTTTTTTCCTGCAACCAACTTCAGGTTACAACAACAACAACATACCCGGTGTAATCCCACTTGTGGGATCTGAGGGGGGGGGGGTAGTGTGTGCACAAACCATACCCCTACCTTTGAAGGTAGAGAGACTGTTTCCAATAGACTGCATTTCAGGTTAGTAATGGAAATTTATATCATCAAACAGTGCTATTTAAGTGCAGTGACTAATGACCTCATAAAACATCTGTGAAACCCTAAGTGCCTGGAAAGAGCAGATGTTTTCCTTGGACTACGAGATGTTGTCTCTAAATAAACAGGCAGATATGCAGAAGTCACTTAACGGATTCACTTTCTTTACATTCTGATTCAACATAGTAGTTTCATACGGTATAGCATGTGTGGAACTCTTAATACATGGTGAAATGAAATTCAAATATACGAAAACTCACAACCATCTACATCTTTACATAGTACTAATACCTACATCATCCATGTAAATTAAATTTCGTACAAGTTGTTATAGGAAGATCCAACCTTTCATCATCAGAATCATCTGTATCTGAACTATTGGAAACACTTAGCTGAGCAGATTTTAGCACAATGGGCATGGCAAGACTTAGATAAGGAAGGAAATCTTCCCCCAAGCATTTACATAGTCTACCATATGCCTGTCATAGAATCAAGTGTAAATTAGCCAAAAACTGAAAAGAAAATGGAAGTTGCACAAAATTCTAAGTTGTATCAACATACTAGTAACGAAAATTTCCTCATTGGATCTTCTATCTCTGTTTGAGTTTCTTGCAATGAAATGAGTACTGCAGTGACCTAAAATGGCACATCACATAAGGTAAATGCATTTTCAGATATGTTGATAGTGTCACATTTATATAATGCCTGCTAAGTACTAATGGAAAGATATAAGTTGTATGTATTCACCTTTTTAACATAACCATGGATTGCTTGATTTCCAAAAGCCATTGTAACCATGGTAATGCATTCCATGGATTTGGCAAGTAGCGTGCGACTTGTATCTTTAGTAGCAGTTTCCAAGATAAGGAATTATAGAATCATATATGTAAGCAGAGTCTTCCTGCAGTAGCCCAGGAAAATGAAGTTTAGAACACCAGAGATTTAACTAAAAGAAGTTATTTTTGAGCTGCTGAAAGTGAAGTACCTGCGATGAAATAGCTACAGAGGCTAAAGTTTCAAGAGCTGCTTCTTTCATCATTGCCAGTCCTCTCTAGAATATGAAGCAAGTTAAAAGCTTACGTCATTTACTCTAATACACGTGAACAAATAAGTATGTTGTAGATTGGTAAAAGGTGACATTACCTGTAGAAACCTGACTAATTTACTCACTATTTTGCGCAGGTAAAGTTTCAAGTCATCTGCTCTGCAATTGCGACTGAACAACCGTATCACTGAAGCTACACGTGTCTATACACAAGAGAGCATATCAGTCGCCAACTCTATGTACTTGCAGTGAACAAGTTTTGATATGTCAAGAGTTCAGATGCTCAAAAGCTAACTAATGCAAAGGTCAAATGTCATAAACAGTACCTGCAACCTGGGATAATCAAAATCATCCAATACTTCTATCAAAGTTGGAAGTAGCTGCCAAAGATATTCCTCTTGAAAACGCAGGCTCAGATAGTTGATAGCTGACCAATTGTGCGAATTTTGGCCCAACGTACTCGAGGGTGGCTATCCTGCATTAGGTTCACAATAGACTGTCCAAATTTCACCATCTCCACTAACAATGCCTGGGAATTTCCAAACCAGAAATCAGACTCAAAAAACATATTTCAGTTGCCAAAAGTAATCCTAGAACTTAAGATGTACTATGTACTACCTTTGAGCATCCGTCTGATATCAGTCCAATAGCAGTAACGGCAGCGTGATGAATTCTCCAATCTTGATCATGCAAGAACTTGAACAAGCACACAGGGCAATTAGGCAGAATTGCATCTCTCCCTAATGCAATTGCTAACCTCTAGAAACTCTCCATACCATAACTACACATACTCAGAGGTGTATTGATAGAAACTGATATGAAATGAAATGAAAATGAAACTTTACTGGTTAAATAAAGTGCAAGAATCTTAAACACTGCCTTAACCAATAACAATGTCCGTATGGAGTGGACAAATCTCCAGATATAAAGAAATAATAATATTTTTCCCTCCCAGAATTCTCCTAAAATACAAATATTTATAGTAAACATAAATAACTCCTAATAGATATATAGAAACAGTTACTGTTGTAAATAACTGTTGATGCCTGCTGGTAATAACTTCTACACTTTATAACTACTATAGATAATTATTGCTTATATATTTTATCCTACTTAATACAAAGAAAGTAAGACAGATAAACTAAGATAGATTATTTCCACATGCTACTCGCCTATATTTTCTTCTAGAGTAAGTCCTTAAAGGAGCATTCGTATCAGTGCATCCTCCCTGAAAAGTCGCCTTGTCCTCAAGGCGAAAAGAAGGAAACTGATCTGCAATGAGATCATAGTTTTCCCAACTAGCTTGTAATTGAATGGAAGATCTTTTCTTATTCCAGTAGGTGAACAGTGAATAAATACAATACATAAAGTGCTAACTAAGGAAAGAAATAAAGAGTGATTCCTACAGATCTGCAGTGATCCCTATAAATCAGCTGCCTATATATAGCTATGTATATTGCTAAGATTTTAAGTCTATATACATTCTATAACACTCCCCCTCAAGTTGGAGCATATATGTTGATCATGCCCAGCTTGTTACAAAGATAATCAACTCGAGTTCCATTTTAACGCCTTTGTGAGCAAATCAGCTACTTGCTCTCCTGTCTTCACGTAGCCGGTGGAAATCAAGTTTTCCTGAATCTTCTCACGAATAAAATGACAGTCAACCTCAATGTGTTTAGTTCTTTCATGATACACCGAATTTGAGGCAATATGCAAGGCAGCTTGATTATCACACCAAAGTTTTGCTAGTGTATGATACTCCAACCCAATTTCAGTTAGAAGATGATATATCCACATAATCTCACATGTAGACTGTGGCATAGCTCTATACTCAGATTCTGCACTGGATCGAGATACAACACTTTGCTTCTTACTCCTCCATGACACTAGGTTCCCTCCAACAAAGACACAATAGCTTGTAGTTGATCTCCTATCAATTTTGGATCCAGCATAGTCAGCATTTGCAAAACACTCAACACGAATATGACTGTGATTGCTATATAATATCCCAAGACCCGGGGCTCCTTTCAAGTAACATAAAATCTGTTCCAAAGCTGCCCAGTGTTTGACTGTAGGTGAGGACATGAACTGGCTAATAACACTTACTGCAAAAGCAATGTATGGACGAGTCACAACAAAGTAGTTTAACTTTCCAACTAACCTTCTGTATCTCTCAGAATCATCAAAGGGGTCGCCGTTATCTTTCATAAGCTGCACATTGGGAACCATTGGAGTACTGCAAGGTTTAGCTGCCAACTTTCCAGTGTCTGCAAGAAGATCAAGAATATACTTTCTCTGAGACAAAAGAATTCCCTTCTTGTTTCTATTTACCTCTATACCCAAAAAGTACTTCAACTGACCCAAGTCTTTCGTATGAAACCTAGTATGCCGAAAGGATTTGAGGGAAGAGATCCCCGCATAATCACTTCCTGTGATGACAATGTCATCAACATACACAACCAGCAGGATAGTGCCAACTGTTGATTGTCGATAGAAGACTGAGTGATCACATTTGCTCATTTTCATCCCAAACTCCAGGACTACCTCACTGAACTTCCCAAACCAAGCTTGGGACTTCTGTTTCAAGCCATACAAGGACTTCTTCAAATAACAGACTC